GGAATTGAGGATAACGTCAAGGCTTTTGGGCCGAGAAAATTAAGGAGGGAATTGGCATTAACTGAGATGGGAAAGACCACGGGATGAACAAGTTTTGGAGAGAATATCAGGAGTTCAGTTCTGGACATGGTAAATTTGAGATGCCTGTTTGATATTCAAGTGGAGACATCAAGTGGACAGTGGGATTTATGAGTGGCATTCAGGGGAGAGTCTGAGCTAGACATAGACATTAGGAGCCATCAGCATATGGATGCCTTTACAGCAATGAGGCTACATGAGAGAACCAAGAAAGTACATAGAGAGAAAGTGATCTTAGGCCTGAGTCATGTAAAAAGGTCAGGATGATGAGATGGAACCAGCAAAGAAGACTGAGGAATGATCAGAGTGGTAGGAGAACAACCATAAGAGTGTGGTGTCTTAGAGGTAAGTGAAGAAAGTGTTTCGGAAAATTATCGATAGTGTCAAACATTACTGATAGGTCACCTAAGATACAGTTGAGAATTAGTGTACTTCAAGCTTTAAAAATTCATGCTGTGATGAACCTTCTTATGAATTTTCAAACTTTGTGGAGGCTTCTGGTTTCTTTTGGATACAAGTTGAGAAATGAAAAGAAAGATCAAAGGGTTGGTCCAGGCTCAAGACTCTTGATGCAGACTCAAACAGGATTCCCAGGAGGAAAATTCTACAATTTGAAAGACCCCTCTGCTGGAAGGCAGAAAGGAGGAGTGATGAGAAGGCCAAGAGCTCTGGGCACTGGGGCTTTAGTCCACAATGAGATGACAAAGTACTAAGCTGCGGGGGTGGCTACAGAAGTAGAAAACAGGTGAGGTTAGGGTTTGTAGTTTTGCAGAGAAAGAAGCCACCTGAGTTACCAGTATGTATATATACTGCTTTCTACTTGATATATCTCTACTTGAATGTTCCAACAGTATCTTAAACTGTTGTAAACGTTTCCCCTCCACGTCCCGCATGGTTCAGGATTCAGGATCTGGACGAGGAGCCGCACACAAATGAAAGAAAAGAGACAAGAGATAATTTGGAAATATTGGGGAGCCAGGCGGGTAAGTCCAACTGAAGAAGAAGGACTTCCACTGGAGCTCAGGCCTCGCCAAGCTTTTATTAGTATGGGATAGCCCTTAGGCAGGGAGGTTCCAGTGACACACAGACTATCTTATCAATAAGGACTTACATGAGTAAAGGTGGGGAGGTTGCTTCAGCGACCATTATCTGGATTAACTGGGTAGTGCACAGCTCTGACCTTTGCTAGGGCTTCAAAGGTCACCAGCCTTTGGGGTCTCTGTCTATGTTTTTCTGCTAGTGAAGACAATAGGCGGTCTCCCACATTAAACTACTCTTGTGTAAAACAAAACTCTTTATATCTCCTCAGAGCATATTCTTCCCCAAATTAGTAAATGGTAGTATCATTCACCCAGTTCCCAAATAAAAAATGAGGCATCTTCCTTGATTCCGTTCTTCCTCTCCTTCCCCGTCCCCCAATCATCATAAGTCCTATTTTCCTCAATGTAGTTAAAATACAGCCATTTTCCTGTGCTTTCCAATATAGTAGCCTTTAGCTACAAGAAGCTATTTATATTTTAATTAAAATGACATGAAATTAAAATTTTCAATCCCTCGTCTACACTAAACACGTTCCAAGAAGTGCTCAAGAGCCACAGGTGGCTAGTGGCTGTCATATAAGCACAGCTATAGAACATTTCCACATTCCTGTTAAATCATAGGGCAGTGCTGATCTATAACCTAGTCCTAACCAGCAACATCTCTAGCCTGAATGACTGTAATAGCCTCTTCATTGATGTCTTTACTGTTTCTATTACTCTTCCCTTCTAATCCATTCTCCTACTTTTAACCAGGAATCAGATCTTGTTGTGGCTTTTCATCACACTTTGAACAAAGTCCAAACTTCTTACCATAGCCTACTGCCCTCAGTCACTACATCCCAGCCACACTGGCTTCCTTGCTATTCCTCCCACTCTAAGTTTTTCTTGATCTCAAGGCTTTACACATGCTGTTTCCTTTACTTGGATGATTCTTTCCCTGGCTATTAGCAAGGCTAAGTTTCTTCTCATCTTAGGTCTCTGTAGAGGGCCTTTCCTGACGTCCTCTTCTAAATGAGGTTTCTTTCAGTTAATATCACATCACCCTACTTATTTCCTTCTTTCATTAATCACAATATTTCATTATTTTATTAATAACAATAATTTCTATGTACTTCTTAAGTATAAGGCACTGTGCAAAGAACTTGCTTTATATACTTTATCTTATTTATTAATTTACTAGTTTCTTTTCTTTTTCCCTATGTCCCTGACACCCAGTACAGTGCTTGACATACAGTAGACATTAATAATTGTTAAACAAATGAACAAATTTATTGAGCACTTACTATGGGCCAGGCACTGTGCTAAGCACTTTACATATATTGTCTCATTTAATTTGCACAGTGATGCTATGATGTAGGTACTGTTACTCCCTTCCTTTTATAGATGAGAGGCTATGTAACTAGTCTAGTTCACAAGAAGAACTAGGATTCTAACCCAGGTCATCTGACTCTGGAGCTCCCTGGGAAGGTACAATAGAGGGTGTAGAAGCCTGGGAACACACCAGCCTGCAGCCCCCACAGCTCAGACGAAAAGCCCCAAAACAAAGTTTTCTTTTTTGAAAGGCTTTCCATTTTAGATCAGGCCAGAGATTCTGGGTGTCACTGCTCAACCGGGAGGCAGACCTGGGTCAGGGCTCAGGATTCTGTTGTGAGTCGAGCTAAATGCTCCAGTTCAATTCTGAGCATCCTCAGTGGGACTGGGGGGGCCGGCCTAGAGATCTCAGACAAGACCCTGAGTCAGAGGTGTACCCAGTCTGACCACTGACACCACTGTCTTTCTGCCTATCTCAGATCAAGGATGAGACAAGGAAAAAAGTAAAAATAATGAGCCTTCTCAGGAAACATCACATGTCAGGCCTGTGACACTGGAAGGGTGTTTGTTAGGTCAAAGGCTCCAAGCTCATTAGCGGGAATGGTGCTGAACTGCAAGCCACCCACACAGCTTTCTTGGGAAGCAAACGCAGTGCAGCATCCACCCTCCCAGGCCTGGGCCTGCATGGTTCCACCATTATCAACATCAACACACATCTGCACCCAGGTAGGTCTGGTTGGCAGCAGGGTCCTGGAAATGGATTGTGTGGGTGTGAGTGGGAGTGTCCCAGAGAGGCTGTTCATAATCCTCCTCCTCCTCATTGCTTGAATTTGGGACTGGTTCTGCCCTAGTCTGAGTTTCTCAAACATGAATTATTCCCAAATCAGCTTAACCTCTTCCATATCTATGTACCACCAATACCAGGTTTTACTTAATATCTCTCTGTGAATCGAGAGAGGTATTTAAGTAAAATAGTCACTACATTAGCATTGTCCCCAGCAGTTCTGATGAACTCGCCAATTGGATGTGCTGGTTATGTTTTCTGAATCTCTATTAAAGTAAATAATGCAACTCTTAAATAATGTTCATCTGAGTTCCACTTGAAATTATCTTGGTGCAACCAAGATGCAAAACAATTGGTGTCAAAGGGACACAAGCGTTCCATTTGACCAGAGCTGGAACAATTTGAGCAACAAAATAAATTAACAAAGTATTAGCTTATAGCCTCAAGTATACACTAAATATTCATGAGCCCAAACTGATATAAATAAATAAATGGGGGAGAAGAGACTAATTTTCCTTATGGAAGAATTCCGAATAATTCATCCCTCCAGGGTATAGAACTTAATTCCTCCCTTGAGTGTGGGCTGCACTCAGTGACTTGCTTCCGAATAGTGGAAAGGGAGGAAAAACACATAACTTCACAGGGAGAAAACCTGGCAAACACTGTCTTGGCCAGTTACTCAAGTCATGTTGAGAGCATGTACCCCTGGTCTGATGTCATGAGAAGGGCATTACCTCTGTGGTTTCCTTCACCAAACTCCAACCTAAGAATGAAAAAAACATCAGAGAAACCCAAATTGAGAGACATTCTATAAAATACCTGACCAGTAACTCCTGAAAACTGTCAAGGTCATGAAAAGCAAGTCTGAGAAAAATGTTCCAGGCCAGAGGAAATGAAAAAGACATAATGACTAAATGTAATGTAATATCTTGGCTGGGATGCTGGAACAGAAAGTAGATGTTAGTGAAATAAAAATAAAGTGTAGAGTTTAGTTAATAGAAATGTACTGAGGTTAGTTTCTTAGTCATGACAAATGCACCTTGATGTTAACAATAGGGGAAACTGGGGGTGGGTATACAGGAACTCTCTGTGGTCTTTATATAAAAGATGTATATTTATTTTTTGTAAATACAGAATTCCTTTTATTTATTTTTAAAAAAATGTTTTTATTGATTTCAGAGAGAGGAAGGGAGAGGGAGATAGAAACACAATGATGAGAGAGAATCATCAATCGGCTGCCTCCTGCATGCCCCACACTGGGGATCGAGCCTGCAACCTGGGCATGTGCCCCGACAGGAATCAAACCCTGACCTCCTGGTTCCTGGGTCAACACTCAACCACTGAGCCACGCCAGCCAGAATTCTTTTTTTTTTTTAATTTATTATTTATTTATTTATTTATTTATTTAATTTAACTTCGAGCTCGCGCCTGCTGGCGCCCGCGTGCCAGGCACCCTCAACTCGGAGCCCGGGCTATCGCGGGCACACACCACACAGCGCGACGCCGCGGCGGCCGGCGCTCTAGTGCTGCCCCTTGGTCGACTTCTTCTTCTTGGACTCGTCTTTGTGCTCCTGCTTCTTCTTCCTCTTGCCACCTTCTTTGAGTCCTGCTGAGAAGGCGGAGGGGTCCCAGGGGCTGGCGGCCCGATGGCGGCCTGGGTCGTCCTCGTCCTCGGGTGGTGGGGTGGGCCTGTGCGAGCTCCGAGGGCGGGCGCCGGTGCTGGCGGGCTGCTCGGGCAGCGCGTGCTGGCCTCGGAGCCAGCAGGCGTCCTCGTCGGCCACACCATGTATCGTCAAGGACTTTAACTGGCCGTCTTCCTCAACTTCCACTCTTTCTTGACCGTTCTCAACAATTCTCTTTGTAGTGATTTTTCTTCCGTTAACAATTTTGGTAGAAGTCGACACGGACTTGAAGTTGCCCATCCCACTACCACCAAATGACGTGGAAGAGAATGAAGTGAGACCTCCATGACCTATTGACCCGAAGGAAGTAAATCCTGCATCAAAAGACGGAAACCCTCCGCCGAAAGCCGGGAACCCTGGGAAGGCGGAGAAGAACGAGGTGGTTCCCCGGTTCCTGCTCCCACTCGGACCCCGCCGAGTCCCAAAGAAGTCGTCAAATGGGTCAAAGAAGTCGAATGAAAACGGGTCCCTTCCACCAAAAAATTCCCTGAACACATCATCTGGGTTCCGGAATGTGAAGCCGAACTCGAACGGGTTGTCGAAGTGACTTTCACCTCCACCTCCACCTCCACATTTAATCCTTCTTTGCCGTACCTGTCATAGATGTCCCGTTTTTTAGCATCGGAGAGCACCTCGTACGCCTCGGCTACTTGTTTAAATTTCCTCTCCGCTTCTTCTTTATTCTCAGGATTTTTATCTGGGTGCCACTTCAATGCCAGTTTCCGATACGCCTTTTTAATGTCCTCGGCGGAGGCATGTCTCTGCACGCCTAGAACTTCATAGTAATCCACCATGTTTCACAGGCTGTTGGAACGAGTCCTGCAGCACGCGGAGCCGGCGGCGGGAAGGCGGCGGGGCGGCAGCCAGGTCTCTTCGGCTTCTGAGCGGCGGCGCTGGTTACGACGGCGGCTCCTCGCGCTTTCCTTTCTCCTTTCTCCAACAACAAACAGGAAGTGCGTCACGCGACAGCGGCTCCTCGCGCTTTCCTTTCTCCAACAACAAACAGGAAGTGCGTCACACGGCGGCGGCGTGCCGCGTCCACCTCCGCCCGCCCGAAGCCGCGCATCCGGAATTCTTTTTAAATGATATGTTTATTTTCTTAAAAAGAGGGGGTTGTATGCTAATGGTTCAAAGTGTGACTTTTGAAGTGATGTAGAGCTGCATATTTGTTTCCTGTGAAACAAATTACCACAAACCTGGTAGCTTAAAACAACAGATTTATTTTCTCATTGTTCTGGAGGCCAGGAGTTCAACATTATTCTTAGTGGGCTGAAATCAAGAGGCTCCTCCAGAGGCTATAAGGAAGAATCTGTCCCTGTCTCTTCCTTCTTGCGGTGGCTGCCATCCTTCCTTGAATTGTGGCCACATCACTCCAATCTTTGCCTCTGCGGTCGCATTGCCTCCTCCTCTTCTCTGTGTACCTGTCTGACCTCCCTCAAGGATATTTTTTCTGGCATTTAGTGCCCACTCAGATAATCCTAGCTGATCCTATCTCAATACCCTGAACTTAATTCACCTTAGCAAAAATCTTTTTCCTAAATAAGGTAACATCTATAGGTCCCAGGGATTAGGCCTCTGTATCTTTGGGTGGCCATTAAATGCAGCCTACCACAGCCTGGCTGTAAGGAACTTAGGACTGGTAGTATCAATCAGCCTCCTCTGAAGTTGAAAATAACAACTATATGACTATTTTTAAAATGTTCATCAAGCCACACTTCGAAAAACAATTGCTACAAGAGACTGGTCTTAGAAGTCAGACAATCCTAAATTCCAAAGCAGGCTCCAGCGCACAGAAGCTTGTGGCCGTGGGTAAGTCAACAAACTCCTTGAATGGCATTCTCTTCTGTACAGGAGGAGCCCTGCCACAGAGGGACACTGTCAGAACTCAGACCATGTAGCAGATGTTCTCCCCCCACCCCTTACAGAGTATGTTATAGCTCATGAAATATTTTCTATGCACAACAACATGTTTGAGCCCCATAAAATTTCACTCTGTGAGATAAAGATGAATTTTCCTTCCCATTATACAGATGGAGAAACTGAGGCTCGACATTAATTGACTTAGTGTTACCCAACTAGAAGACTGGAGACAGGTGGGTGGTGTCTGAGAACACAATGGGCAGGAGCCGAGGGGCAAATGGCTTCCCTTCTGCAAACCCTGGGAGACTGACCCATGGTTTGCAGTTTGCCAGGTTCCTGGTTTTGAAAGCTCCTTATTCGGAGTCATTGAAGCGGAGACGCTAACAGGACCCTCGCACTGCAGAGCCCATCTTAGACGGGGTATCCTGAAATGGACCAGGGAAGCCTGCTGAAGGGGATTCATGCTCTGCCTGCAGGAGCCAGGAGGAGAGGGGGAGAGGGTATGTTAAGGGCCCACGTGCCGAAGCCAGGAGTTCAACCGCCTGAGTTGGGGCCCTGGCTCTTCCACCTCACAGACCCCTGGCCCTGGGCAAGTCACCAAACCCTTTTGTGCTTCCGGTTGTTTCCTTATATGTAAAAGAGAGAATTATAGAACCTTAAAGGAAAACTGTGAGGCGCAAGTGAATTACTGTACATTAAGCTTTTATTACAGTGCTTGGCACAAAGGGCGTGCTCACCCTAGGCCAGTGATGGCGAACCTTTTGAGCTCGGCGTGTCAGCATTTTGAAAAACCCTAACTTAACTCTGGTGCCATGTTACATATAGAAATTTTTTGATATTTGCAACCATAGTAAAACAAAGACTTATATTTTTGATAGTTATTTTATATATTTAAATGCCATTTAACAAAGAAAAATCAACCAAAAAATGAGTTCGCGTGTCACCTCTGACACGGGTGTCATAGGTTCGCCATCACTGACTGCCTAGTCATTACTCATCCGGAGAACACCTCACTGCAGGGGCGGTTCTTGCTTCTCCATACGCCCCCTCGCCTAGAGGAATGCGATTCCTCCCGCCGGGAGCGGGGAGCACGGGTGCGGAGGTTTTGGGTCTCGGTCACTGTCCTGCTGACGTCATTCCTGGTCGCCCAACCATCCCCGTCGGTACCAGGAGATGACAGAAGCGCGACCCTGCAGCGGGACGGAGCCCTGCTGGCCCCAGCCACCCTCCCTCCCTCGCCCCCTCCCTCGCTCCCTCCCTTCCAGTCCAGGGATACGGGCAGGGCAGGGAGCGGCCGGGCTGCCACAGCAACGCCCGGAGGCTGCCGGGACGGGGAGGCGGGGCCGGCCCCGTGAGGCCCCGACCCCAGCCCAGGCTCCGCCCAGAACGAGGCCAGGTCTTCAGGCGGCTCAAGCCAAGTCAGCTGTGTGGCTCTAACTTCCTGAGCGCCTGACGGAACCGCGGTCTGACTGACCGCGCACGCCATGCCCGCCTGGTAACCCGGGGCTCAGCTGTGTCTGACTGAACACAGTCTTCCTGGGCGCCTGACGGACCCAGACCGGGTCTGCCTGCCTGACTACAGCTGGCTGCCCATCCCTGGCTGATGGCATCTGGGCCTGACAGGGTGTGTCCGTCTGAGTGACTAACTGCTCTGACTGACCAGACTCCATCAGTGCTCAACAACCTGTGTCTGACTGACCCTTCTAATGACGGATTCCGCGGTGCCAGCGGCTGGACCACATCTCTGCCGCAGGCGGAAGCCGGCCGAGGCTGGCTGGCCGGCCAGCTGCTGATGGCCGAGCCCGGGCCTGAGCGCATCGGCCTGAGTCCCCTGACCAGCTAACCTGCCCGCCTTCCTGAGACTCGCCGACCACCCTGGCCGAGGTGGCCTCACCACAGCCTTCCTGCCGGCTGGGGTCCTCGTGCCTGGGCCTGGGGAAGGAGAATCAGCCCACCTGATGTGTGCACGGGCCATATCTGCCAGATGGCGTGGCTGGATCCACGTGGCTGGCTGACTCTGGGCGACCCTTCCTCAGGGGCTGAAAGGCTGAGTCAGCCTGACCGTCCCTCCATGACCACCTCTGTCTGACTCAGCTTGACCGAGTCTGGGTCTGACTCTGCGTGCCTGGCTGCGGTGGTGGCCGGCCACGTCTGCATCCAGGAGCTGCTGGTTGAATCAGATGGCCTGCCTGAACTGCAGCTGACCCGCTGAACCAGACCGGCTTGTCCCTCAGATCCTCTCCCTCACTAATGGCCCCTTTCATTCCAGCTGCCCAACAAGTGGTTCTGAGGGATCGCTTGTTTAGAGGTCTGGGGCCTGGGCATTTTTAGTTACAAGTCTGAGCCTTGGAGGGCACCAGCAGGGAAAGGAGCCCAGGACGGAGTCTGTGAGTGAGGCTGGCCGCAGGAGCAGGACTGGAGGCCAGGTGGGGAGCAGCTGGAAGAAGCTACAGGGATCCTCCAGGCTCCTGCTAACGGAGTCAGCACCTGGAGGAGTTAGGCTGGGATGTACCATATTTTCCCGTGTATAAGATTCCCTCTCCCCCACTTTTCCAACCCAAAATTAAGAAATCAATGTTGTAAGCATTTTGCTGGTTTTCCTCTTAAGGACTTCTTCTTTTTTGGCATCTTAAGGAGTTGTTCTTTCTGTTTTCTCCACTGTCTGGTTACACACTCAGTGGGAGGAGGTTCAAATTGTCTCTCTGTAGCTCTATTTCCATGCTCTTTTGCATAGCTGATTACTTTCAGTTTGAATTTTGCAGAGTAAGACAATTGCTTACCAGTATTTATCTTTTTATTTTTTGACATCTTTAGGGGCTCAGAATGCTCCAGTCCCTGTTACATCTGCGCACTCTCCACCTCCACCTCCAATTACGGCATCGACTAACATCAGTAACAATAAGGCTCATGATTGGAGGAAGCCTGTTTGACAAGGTATGGGCAGCTAGGCACCCACGGCTCCCTCCTCAGCTGACTTCCGTGTATAAGATGAATAAGATACCCCTTGATTTTCAGTCTAACAATTTTAGAAAAAAAAATGTGTCTTATACACGGAAAAATACGGTAGGTGCCTCAGGGCAAGAATGCATGACCCTGAAAACTTTGTTCCTCCATGTTTGTGGGAAAGCTCTGTCTGTGCCTTGCTGCTCTGCAGAAGGGGCATTCCACAGACCTTAGATCTCCTCCTCAATTTAAATCTTTCCCATAGCTCATGTGTGTGCATATGTTCACTGGCCACATCAACCATATTGAATAATTTACCCTCTGGAAAGAGAAGCTGTGTACCAGAATAAGGGGAAGGAAATACTGATTAGAGGGAATTAAAAAAAAAGTAAGCATGTGAATTGAATGGGTGTACAATGAATTATAACTATTGTTATTAATAACTAGAGGCCTGATGCACAAAAATCGTGCAAGAGTAGGCCTTCCTTCCTCGGGCTGCCGTCACCAACTTCCCTCCAGCACCCAGGACCTGGGCTTCCCTCCGGCCCTGGCTTCGTCTGAAAGGATGTCCGGTCTAATTAACATGTTACCCTTTTATTATTATAGATAATAAATGAGAGCATCGGAGTAACTTATCGTGATTGAGCTCTAGCATTCTGAGATGCTGTCTCTCCATTAATAACAGAGCCTGGCTGCCTCATTGATTTCATTATAAGCCAAGGGAGGGATGGGAGGAAGACACAGCTGCACTCCCAAGGGCTCTGTCTTAGTCAGTGAGGGCTGCTATAACATCCGATTGGAGGACTTAAACAACAGATTTATTTCTCAAAGTTTTGGAGGCTGGAAAGTCCAAGATCAAAGTGCAGGCCAATTCAGTTTCTGGTGAGGCCTTCTTCCTGGCCTGCAAACAGTCGTACTCTCACTGTGTCCTCACATGGTGGAGAGAGAAAGTTCTGGTCTCTTCTTATAAGGACACTAATCCCATCATGGGGGGCCACAACCTCACAACCTCTTCTAAACTTAATTATCTCCCAAAGGCCCCACCTCCGAATACTATCACATTGGGGTTAGGGTTTCAACATATAAATCTGGGGAGAGAACAAATGTTCAGTCTATAACAGGATCTTACAACATGAACTTGAATTTCAGCCATGGTAGCT